CCCCCCCCGTCGAGGTGCTGAACCGGTGTTGCTATCCCGTCGCCGCCACTCCTTGGCCTTCGGCCGTCGTGAAGGTTCGAGAGCCACCGTGCACTTCTACTCCTTCGTGGGTCCACGTCCAGCACCTCTCGCGGCTAGCAACTCCAGGCGAGCAGGCCGTCTTCGGTCGTGTCCAGCACTCCAACAGGCCGTTTCAGGCCATCGCGAGCGCCTTCGCTAGCCACCGAGGCTGCATCACCGTCGTCCCAGTTCGCTATTCGTATCGTCCTGGTCCCACCCTAAGGGCTGAAACGCCTCTCTTTCCGTTGGTGCGGGACTTCATAGCCGTGATGCATCGTAATAGTTCGAGTGTCGGGTCGAACTCGGAGACCTTCAGCCTTGAAGGTTTCATGTCGGATATAGATCGGAAGAAAAGAAAGGAGTTTGAGGATTTCAAACCCTCTCATCCAAGTGACATCAGGAGATGCGTTCAAGAAGTGTACGATCTGTGGTACACCTTGCTTATAGGCGAAAACCCCCTTGTCGATCACGAGGACGGCATGGACAAGCTTGCTCAAATCCTACCCCAACTGTGGAAGAGTGTGGTTGTAGGAATGCGTGATGAGCACCGGAGGAGGAAACCACTCGTTTTTCTGGACCACCCTCGCTTAAACATGTTTGAAGTGGTCGCTCACCTTGGCAGAAAATGGGAACGTAAGGAGGTACCATTGGAAACGGACTTCGGATCGTACCCCGCCACTGAGAGCACCGTATCCAGCCCTAACCCCGTCTCCTCCTCAGCGGAGTGCGGTAATGGGTGGGTTTCCTAGGTATTGTTCGATTATATGCATATTTTCATCTATATGCTTAGATTAATATAGTTATATGTTGAACTGAGACATTATTTGGATATAAATAAAATAGATCCTTAGGGTTTAATGTGAAACCCTTGTGATCTGTTACTAACTCGTGGTTGGCTCTTGGACCATGGAACATTTAAAGTCTTTGGCCTCACGATGAAGGCCTTAGACATTTTGTTGAGTAATTAGTCTCATGCATTTTTGAATCGGGTATTGCTGCTGAATCTTTTTGAAAAATCTTTATAAATTGTGTGTTCGTCCGATTGCTGCGAAATTTGGACTGTATGACCTTCTATTGGTATAATATGTGGTGTAAAAATTTCAAGTTGAAATGAGGTCTGTAGCTATGTCAAATGTCGATTTGAAATTCTAGACAGAAACTTCGAAAAATCATTAAAAATCGAGTACTTGGTATTTTTCTGTGAATTTTGGTGAGGGTCAGTAATTTGATGATATGTGTGTTGTGTCCAAATTTCGTTGACAAATTCTAAGGTTTGCCCGATGAACTGGTAAATTTGGATTTTCGTCGTCTTTTCGTAAAAATTGATTGGTTGGGTTAAACTGAAGTATTAATGCTGAAACTTGGTGAAAATATGTTTTTCTAGGTGAATTATATCATGTATAAATTTTAAGTCAATCGGTCGAGGGCATTTTAAAAACGGTCAGGTCCTATTTTGTGTCTCTCCATGCTTGATGTAGAATCGAGTAGAAATGTTCCATAACTCCACGAGAACTTTCCACGAGCCACTTAGTCGACGAGTCTTGACTAAGTTTGTGTGTTCGTCGGAATTGATTGTAATCGAGAGGTTATCTTGATTTCGTGTAGGTGTTTTGAGGTGTTGACCTCACCGCTTACTCGAGCCTCGCTTTATGTTTGTTGCTGCTACCAGGTGGGTTCTAATCTAAAATCGTCTATGCCATGAATGATGAATGTTTTATTTACGGTATGATCTAAGTATGAATATGAAATATGTAGCCTATCGATGTGAGCTGTTACGGCCGTCGGTACGGTTGTCCCCGTCGATGTAATACGGTTGCCCTTGCGAGGCAAGTCTCCTTAAGTCCTGATATGGCCGTGCCCTTGCGAGGTACGTAAGCCCATATGGAAGGCCGTGTCCGTAGCGTGGCATGTACTCCCGCCTTCGGGTAATGAATCCCCGTTCTGCGGCTAGCGATAGATGTGCACAGGAGTAATGTGGTTGTTGTGATTTTGATAGGAGATGAGACAATATGTGATTATCTTATATTCATGCTGCGACCGTACCATCGTCATATATTGTTTATGTGCATAGTAGTGAGCACTATTTTCATCTTGTGCTCACCCCCACCTGCTCTTTACCGATGCAGGTTAAGTGACAGCCGGGTGACGAGGAAGGGACGAGTTGGGTCGGTCTAATTACTTATGCATTTTTATTGCTTCTGTTGAACTTGAATAAGTTTGTTGCACGTCATGTTTTGTGCAAACTATTTTTGAACCTCGTGTGTT